GAAAGAAGACACCAGCATAATAATCCTACCAGCAGACAAGGGCAACGCCACGGTGGTTATGAACACATCTGACTACCAAACCAAATTAACCAACCTACTCCAAGACTCCACATACAAACCCCTAAATACAGATCCCACCACCTACCTGGAAAAAACCACCAGATCCAAAATAAAAGCCTCCCCCATTAGCGAAGAGATCCAGCAAAGAATCATTCCCAGAGAGAAATCATCCAGATGCCCCAAACTCTATGGTCTCCCCAAGATACACAAAGAAGGAACCCCACTCAGACCTATAGTCAGCTCCATAGGCTCACCTCTACAAAACCTAGCCAAATTTCTCGCCAAACAACTACAGCCCTATGCAGAATCCATCACCTCACACGTAAAAAACTCATTCCAGTTTATAGAGATCATAAAGAAACAAAACTTACAGCCCAGCGACCTACTCGTGAGCTTTGATGTCATATCCCTCTTCACCCAAGTGCCTATCAAAGAAGCCTTGACAGCTATCCAAAACAAATATAACCCCCCCAAACACATCTTAGATCTGACCAACCACTGCCTATCCAACACATACTTCATCTATAATGGACAAAAATACAAACAAACAGAAGGAGCACCCATGGGATCACCCCTCTCACCTGTCATTGCCAACCTCTACATGGAACACTTTGAAACCCAAGCTCTAGAAAAATCGGATCACAAACCCAAACTCTGGCTCAGATATGTAGATGACACCTTCATAATCTGGCCACATGGGAAAGAAAAACTGGACAACTTCCTCACACACCTCAACAGCCTACACCCCAAAATACAGTTCACCATGGAAACAGAAGCTAACAACCAACTTCCCTTCCTGGATGTCTTAGTCTACAAGAAATCCAATGGCTCCCTAGGACACACCATCTACCAGAAGAAAACACACACAAACCGCTATCTGCACGCTCTCTCACACCACCACCCAGCACAGATCAACTCTGTAGCCAAGACACTCATCTCCAGAACAAAACGCTTAGCTGACGAACAACACCTAAAAACCGAACTACACACTCTCACCAATGTACTAACATCCAATGGATTCCAAAGAAATAAGATTACAAACCTAATCCAAAAAGAAACCCCCACTAAAATCCAAGACGAAGAACAAGAAAACGGCAAAGCCCTCCTCCCATACATAAAAGGCACCACAGACAGAATCAGTAAGATCCTCCATAAACACAACATCAAAACAGCATTCTGCACAAACAGAAAAATATCCACCATCCTTAGAAACCCCAAAGATAAAATTGAATTAGAAAATCAAGGAGTATACGAAATCCCATGCACCACTTGTCCCACCACATACATCGGACAAACCAACAGAAGAATAAGTGCACGCATTGAAGAACATAAGAACTCAGTCAAAAAAGAGGAACCAACATCTTCCCTGGTCCAACACCTTAAAGCCACAGGACATGAAATTGACTTTAAAAATACCAGAACCATTGCCAAAAGTGAACATTTTAATAACAGAATAATCAGAGAAGCCATCGAGATAGAAAAACGCCCACACAGCATGAACAAGCGAGATGATACCTCCCGCCTACCAGCCATTTGGAAACCCGCCCTTATTGACAAACGACTCCCTAATACAAAAAATGATACCAGACCCACACTCACAAAAACCACACAGGATGTCACCACCACACATCCACGCAAAAAGCAAACCCAAAGCCACACCGATGATGAGGCACGACCACAAACCAGAAGCCAGACCAGAGCTGCATCATTAGCCACTTTAAAGCCCTCCAATCCATACATGAAGCAAACTGACACCCTCCATGAAAATGAGGCACGACCACAAACGCGAAGCCAAAAAATAGCAAGGCAGCCCAAAATCTTAAACCCCTCTGCAACTCAGACTAACCTGAGCACAACCAAACAGAACACTCCCCCAGCCAATCAGAGCACAGCCGACCCCCCAGCCAATCAGAGCACAGCCAACCCCCCAGCCAATCAGAGCACAGCCACGCCCCTAACCAATCAGAACACACCTCCACCCAATCAGAACACAGCCAAGCTCCCACCCAATCAGTTCATACCCCCACTGGCAGTTAAAAGGAAGAAACAGCTAAGACCACACATTGCTGCTCGAAGCACGAAGCTGAAAACACCAGCCTGAAGATGACGAATGGGACTTCGTCGAAACGTCGCCAAGACACTTCCAATTTTACGCGGGAGAAAATCCGAACAACCAAAGACCTACTACAAACACCCGCGAAAACCTCAGAAAACATATATATATATACATACACACACACACACATACATATATGGAATGAATAAAGCGCGTTCACCAGGAGAGTTTAAAGTTAAAATACTTTAATTAAAGTATTTTACTATATTAAAAGGTTGCCAAGCTTTCGTTGGGAAAACTCCCCAACATCTTCAGGGCTGAGAGACCGTTTCTAACAAGGTGGTTTAAACGGGTTCCATAGACGTCTGCGCTTGGTTCCTAGACCGTGCCAGCATTCCCGGCTGATAGGTGGGAGGGGGAACAGCTGATAGGTGGGAGGGGGAATCAGAGTAAAGATTTCTTCCATCGTTCTCTTGAGCACTTGTGTTCACATCTCCGTTTGAATCATCCTCCTCCATCATGGTGTCCTCCATGCTCATCTTCCCTCGTAGGTCAATATTCAAGTTAAATCCCTCCCATTTCTGTGAGCAAAAGTCTGTTGGTATTTGGGCAGATTCCCCACTCATGTTACTTTCCCTTTTATCAAGCGAACGGGTCGTCATCACATGTTTTTTTTCCCCTCTCTGTATGGGATATTCACTTTTATTATTATTATGGGTAGTGCTAAATTTAGTGGTTCTAGCCTCAAATTTCTTAAGCGCTCCAATGTCATTATTGTTGTTTTCTCCAATTAAAGGGGGTGTGGTTTCCCCTTGATGTTGTTGGGAGGTTTCTGGGCAGTCTATATCAGATTGTTTCTGGTAGGGAGGAAGTGTAGCTCCTGGTTTAGAACGTTGTGGATGTTGATTGTAAGGTTTGTGATATAAAGGATGATGGTTTGAGTTCCATTTTCGTAGTGCTTGTTGTGCTGGGTGCAAGTCAATGTGACGATTGATTGAGTTGTTATTCGAGAACCAGGCTTCTTTTAGCAGCCGACCTCCCTTCGTGGCATCACTGGCTACGATAAGGGTGTTATTGAAGTCGAACTGATGGCCTTGTTGTGCCACATGCATCCAAAGTTGTGAGTGTGGTTCGCCTCGTTTTATGGCCAGTTTGTGTTCGTGGAGGCGAGTTTTCAAGCGTTTGGCTGTTTCTCCCACATAGTTGCCGTCGCAGTTTTTGCAGTTGATCTTATAAACAATAGCAGATTTCTCCATGGTAGGTAGGGGGTCCTTTGGACGCATAATTTTTGATCGTAAGGTTTGGTTAGGTTTGTGAGCTACTTCTATACCATGGGGTGCTAGTAGTCTGGCTGTGGCCTCTGAGATGTTACTTATGTATGGGAGGGAGATGCGTGTTTTTTGTAGGGGGGAATCCCTTCTTCGTTGGGTGGTCTGGTGCTGGAAAGTTGTACAATGTCGTTTGATAAATTTTAATGGATAACCGTTATATATGCACGTACGGAAGAGGTGTCTCCTCTCTTCTTTCTTATATTCATCCGTGCTGCAGTGGGAGTCAACGCGTTTAAATAACGTTTTAATGCAGCTGATTTTATGGGAAACAGGATGATTACTCTGGTAATGGAGGATTCTATCCGTGTGGGTTGGTTTATGGAATACCTTCGTATGTAGGTATCCATCTGGTTGACGGTGGATGGAAACATCTAAGAAGGCAAGAGAATTGTGTCTTTCTTCCTCTACAGTAAACCTTATGTCAGAGTAGATGGAATTTAATATTCCCATAAATGTAGTTACATGTTGTCTTTTGACAATAGCAAATGTATCGTCCACGTATCGAACCCAAAATTTGGGTTGGTATAAAGTCATAGCCTTATGTTCAAGCTGTTGAAGGACTACCTCAGCTATAATACTGGAGATGGGGGAGCCCATCGGGGTTCCTTTTATCTGTTCATAGATGGTACCTTGGAATGTGAAATAAGTCTGGAGACATATTTCTATCAATTTCACGAGGTCTTCCGTCTGAAGGGAATCTTGGTGATGACCTTCTCTCATAGATGTCAAACGTTCTTTCAGGACAGAGATGGCTAAGTCCTGGGGAATGGAGGTGAAGAGAGAGGTGACGATGAACGACACCATCATCTCATCATCCTCCACCCTAAGGGTCTTAATTCTAGTTAAAAATTCTTCTGCAGATCTGACCATGGTGTTACTGCCATCTACGAGGTGGTTGATGCGGGTACTAAGCCATTTAGCTAGTCCTGAGATGGGGGTGCCCCTGAATGATACAATGGGGCGAAGGGGGGTACCTTCCTTGTGGATCTTTGGTAGACTGTAAAAACGGGCAAGGGCCGTGTCACAGGGACGTATCCTCTTTAGGGTGTCATCTCCGATCTTCTTACAACGCTTAAAGTTGTCTAGCAGTTTGTTGATTTTATTTTTGAGCGTTATTGAGGGGTCTTTTTTAATTACTCTATAGGCCAACTTATCATTCAAGAGTTCAAGTGCTTTAGCTGTATACAGTGTTCTATCCATAATAACAGTCACCCTACCTTTGTCTGCAGGAAGTATGACAATAGTATCATCTCTTTTAAGTTGTGTAAGAGCTCCAGTTTCTTCTCTATATATACACACACTGGTGTACACCGCTTAGAGAGTGCTTGCACTTAAAGCGGTATATAAGTCTCATAAATAAATAAATAAAATAAATGGTTGTAAGTTGAGGACTAGCTGTACAATTTTCTCTACTTTTGATAATGCTGCTTATTCTGAAAGATAACTGAATGTTGGGTATGATTTGCGTTATCAGAAAACTAGGATAAAGTAGGAATCACGATTTTAAAGAAAAGGACAAACAGAGGAGAAGGAGGAAGATTTGAGTACTGTACCTCAGTAGCAGTGCTCTGATTGGCTCCGTTTTCCAAAAGATATTTTACTACATCGATATGGTTCTCCTGCGCTGCCATGTAGAGAGGCGTGAAGCCATTCTAAGGGAAAGTAAAGTAATATACAAACCATAAGTATTAGAAACCAAAGCAAATTACACACAAAATAATGTGATTTGTGAAGCAAACTTAAGTAGAATCCAAAGGAAAAACAAACAAATTCCACTTGAACAACTCAATTCTAAGAAATATCAGATACTCACAAAATCTTCTTTTGGCAATACTATTTTAATGCTTGTACCTTTTAAAACATTTAATTTATTAAAGTAAATATCTTGTGAGCCCTATTAAATATGTTTTGAGCATGAAACATGAGATTGAGACTTTATGTGGTTCTGTAAAGCTTAATATATCCTTCAGATTCTTTATGCAGCACTTAAGTTAACTTAGCATATACTGCAAGAAATAGGATTTTCAAATAAATAAAGTAAAAGTTACAATATTTATGAAGAAAATAAAAAATCTATTATTTATTGCTTATATTTAATTGGAAGTAACTCACTGTCCAACATAGAACAGTGACCTTAATCATGAAAGTTTTATGGGCTGGAACAATATATATTCCATAGCACTATAAGAAAAACTTGTTGATTGTAACAGAGCTGCAAAAGAACTTTTACAACTTGATATCCTGACCAGGAGACAAAAATGTGAACTCGGGACTTAAGAGGAGTGTAAGATTCATATTTTCAAGGAATGCTTTGAAGAAGAATAAAATTCATCCTAACCATCAGGTTTAATTCTTATAATGCCACAGTTTACAAAATACAGTTATGAGCAGGCTATTAACAGACTCAGATAAAACATTTGTTGCTTGCATTTTATGTATATCTTTGAAAATGACATTGAAGCATTTCATTAATCAAAAATAGAAAATAAGTAACTTTTATTTTGTTTAATTCATCCAAGAATAAAACCCAAACAATATATGCAATACACATTTTATTGGTTTTGAGCACCTCATTGTTATATACACACAGTACTCTGTACATTTTAATATATTTTTATTAAAATGTGAATATAGTTTTAAATTATTCACTGTGTACAAAGCATATAACATAAGAATTCAGAACAGCTTAATGGATTTTGTATTATGGTTTTTGAATGCTAAGTCTTGCTATTTCTGTTTCAGGATTATTACATAGTTCTTCACTTCTGTTTTGAGGTCAGCATGCATTTCCTGGAAATGTACAACATTATGGTAATGCAAATGCATCATTAAACAAATTCTGTTTGTCGTAACATTTCATTTTTAGCTACCATATGAGCTCAATTAAAAAAAAGTCATCAACCAGTCATTAAATGTGTGCAACTTTAATGCACCATTAAAAGACAGATTTACACAAACGTTCCTTTTTAATATATAAAATATACAAAGAAAATGTATTTGCCAACCAAACTGGAGTTCGAACAGTTTCAAATATGAGAATGCAGTAAGTCAAAGATCTATTCAAAACAGCATACTACCAAATGCTGAGCAGCACATGGTTTATCTCAACCAGTAAGTTCAAAGTAACCAAACCAACCAAATTATTTCCATAAATAAAGTGTCTTCCATTTCCTGGAGTAATTTTTTTATTCAAAAGTTAATTTTTATTTTAAAACATAATGAATTCTGCATAATTGTACATAGAACAACTGAGAATTCTAATTTTGCCTCAGGAAACCATTTTAATGCAATTTAGTTATGTGTAGAACGCAGATATATCTTCATCCTAAATAACTGCCACATTTGAATAAGGCCACTCATCTGAAATCACCAGGTTGCTTGGGCCTGTATGAATTACATATCTCTTAAAAGAGCTATGGAAACTGATAATATCCCCACATCCAAGTACTAAAAAACCAAAAATTCTCAGCATAGAATATGAGAGAATGTAATTCACTTATAATTACTGTTATCTCTGAATTCTCAAATTATAGACTTGCAAAAAATATGTAAATTTTTGGAAAGCTTAATTGTTACCAAAAGTAATCAAAAGTAACTGCTATGATTTACTATTAAATCAGTAGGCAGTAAATTCCAAAACCAGGCTACATTTACCTGTTGATTTCTTCCTAATATAGGTCTGCATTTCATTTCATTTGCAAATGAATGCCTGCCATTTAATGTCTGAACCAGATTATCATAATTTTCCAAGTCAACTATATCTGGATCAAAATTCAAACACTGAACATCTGTTATAATGACTACAGGCAGTACCTAGAACATTTAGTGTTACCAATAAATCAGCTGAAAAAATGGAATAATAATTTCAATCTCGTGAATATTTGTTTTGCTTTTTTACGGAATTGCAATTCCATTTTTCTTTAAAATGCATTTTAAAGTTAATTGATGATTTTATATATATATATATATATATATATATATATATGTGTGTGTGTGTGTGTGTGTGTGTGTGTGTGTGTGTGTGTGTGTGTGTAGGTCTTTGTTTGTTCGGGT